TTTCATTTTTCATTTTTGAGGTACTAAACAGTAAAATAAAAGGCTAAGATTTTTTTTGAGCATAGTTGAGGATATTTTCTAGGGCTATTAACGGATGGAAACACGATTTGATGAAGTTGACTCGATAGAATAAATTCCCAAAGTTACCTCTATTCGTTTTCTAATAATGGTTTTATTTTTAAAATAAGCGATTTGAGATTCTGAATCTTTTACTAAACTAAAGTTCAGAAATAACTTGAGGGCTTTTAACGGATGAAATTTTTATATTGCGTCTTATTTAGTTACTATGTTAAAAAATGTGGAAAAAGGGCCTACCGATAGGTCGGGTGACGTAATCTTGAAATTCTTTAAGCCGGCGCAGAACTTCCAGAAGGTCGGGCGACGCCACGGCCACTTTGAACAGTGTTTACTTCTGCAGTTATATTTTATATTTATTCGATTCTAGAATATATTCCCAAAAAGTCTGAAAGGTGTTTTAATTTGTATCACTTGGATATGATTTCTATTAGAAAGTGTTGTGAGTGTGACGCTTGAAAGGAAGGAAGTCAACCTAACCTAACCAACTGCGTATTTCTATACTGTGTAGCTGGAAATTGTGGCGGGAGCTCTTTGACGCGCTGTTTTCGGCGAAGAATTGCGCGCGCAGATTTTGACAGCGCGAAATACCTACTTTAGAAGAAATACCAAGCCTTAAACAAGACCTACACTGAGCATAAGAAATATCATCCATATAGCAAAACCGCGTGACCTCATTCTACATACCTATTTGAATAACGTCTAACTTAACCGTCACAGAAAAACTGGCCCGTTCCCTTTTGACCTGGGAGGGTGACCTCTACGACAGATTTGTGACTCAAAGGCGCTGATGAACCAAGCTTATCCCTCTCGCGCCTTTCCGAACAAAGACCGACCTATATAGGGGATTAGTGATAATAACACGGTATTGGGACGATGCGGAAGCCTCAGAATGGGGTGGCATGGCATTTCTAGAACAAGAAAAATATGGATGCGAATAAAATTGTGTCAATGAACCACAATGATGGATTAACATTAATAATTTAGGGAAAATATTTAAGTACCTATTTATTTAAAGTTTGAAAAAATGTGTTTAAATGTATAAATCCTTAACGAATTACAATGCAGAAAGTTCATTTTTATCCACTAATAGTAGTCCCTATTTTAGCAAATATTGAATTAATAATAGATTCGGTTAATTATTGGTCTAAAATATCCATTTTAAAGGAACTGCAAGATTCTTGAACGCTATAAACTTTTAAACATAAAACATGATCCATTTCCATCTGATGTCTTTTTATTGAAGAAGCTAAATGTTTTCTCTAATATACAATGAATTTATGTAGAATTTAATTTAATATAAGTACCTACAGTAGATTCATCCCTTTGTTAATTAGAAAATTAACTGGCTGAAGGATTTCATAGCCCTTGATTGTTTTCGCTGATCCTCAAAAGGGACAACAATGTAGATTGTAAATGAATTAATTTTGATAAAATCCTTTTGTTTATTAGAACGCCGTAGAATCCCAACAACCTGGTGAAAAGGTAGTACCTTGTAATAACAAGTTATTACGTTGGATTATTGTATTTAATTAAGCGAGGTCAGAAAGTGTAAAGATAGTTTTGGGTAATGAAAACTCCTTACGGAATATCTCATTTACGATAGTTTAGCTTCATCTCCAACATTTGATTTTATTAAAGACTTTATCATCAAAACTACAATAGACGGGATTAAGGCTAAGGCATATAAGTAATATTTTGCAAATAAACATAGTCTGATGTAGATAAAAATGGGTACCTAATAATGATTAAAAATTAAAATATGAAACAGTATTTACCATTAGGCAGCTACATTATTCCATAGGTATTACTCGTAGTATGGGATGACTGATGATGATGATGATGACACACATAGTTAAAGTGATCATTTCTAAGAATTTTCTCATGTAGTCATTAGTCCCAGGACTGCTAGGCCACAGCTAGATTAATCCTCTTAATAAATTTTAATAGTCTCCCTTCAGCCTGAAATTCGATCTGATGCTTGTATATGTGTAAGACTATGTACCTAAGTACATAAGTACTAAATATTATCAACTCCTCAGAGTACGAACAACAGCAACACAAGTCAATTGAAAAAATGATTCAACGTAGAGTCATATTACTTTTCGGGAAATTAAGTTGAGCCTTTAATTTTGTAACTAAACTGTGAAAATAACTACCTAAGTAGGTACTTAACTTACTACATTTATTTATTTTTTTATTTAAAACTTATATGCACATAGAACGGTGCACATAATAAGGCGGACTTAATACATTCATAAATGCAAAGTTAAAATATCACGACAATCACAAACGAGCTTTTACTTAGTACCATTTCTCCACTACCAAAATATTTTTTCATTGGTCATCCAAAAATTAGTAGGAGGTTTTGACTTCAAGATTACTTTATGTAGAGTCATTAAACTGACATTTGATTTCAAAACTACATTAACTTACGCCCGTAGTAGTTCACAATAATGATAAAATTTGAAAATGTCGGAAAGTAGAAATCCAAATAAGCTATGTAGTTAAAAGCTTACAATCAATTAGGTACATCAGTTCTTGCTCTTTACTTCGCCATTCGTCGGCAAGTCCTCACAATACGAGAGTTCGCAAAGGCTGTGGGAGGGCTCTCCTGCGTAGAGAGCCGTTATTACGACTCACGAGCCTCTCTAGAGAGAAGAGGGTCAAATTTAGACGTAAAGTACGCTAAATACCTGTTTATTAAATGAAGTGGGGTAGGAATTCTTATTTAAGTTAAAATTTTAACATTTAATTTTATTGTTTAGTAGGGACCTTCTAATGGTTTGCTAAAATGAATGCAGCCTAGAGTTAGGACCACGCGCGGCACATCACGTTGAACATAACAAAATTATTTGTTATAACCTTAGATTACAAATAATTTTGTTATCTATAGAGGAGACTTTGTAACAATAGGGTATTTAGGTAGATATACCTACCTATATAGACGATGACAACATTATAGTATTGTAGCATCTTTTGCTGTTCAATTATGTGAGAATGCAACAAAAATGTTTAAGTATTGTTTAATCTAGGTTACTATGCTGCAGACTACAAATAAACAAAAAGGGCTGAGAAACAGTCAAAATTCGCGCTTTATTTAGCGCTATTTTTTCCGTGATCATAGTTTTCATTCGGTGGTTACTTAAAGGTGCTTAGAAGTACCTACTTAAATTATTCAGAAAACTTTAATAGGGCCTGGCGTGAGTTTTCATGAAACGCACTCACTGCAGCACTAGTGAGTGCGTTTGGTGTAAATTAATTTAACTAAGTAGGTATAAGTAACTATAAAACTGAATAATATTATGGTATGATCATAATAATGCGATATAGTTAACCCCTTTGCTATAAATACAATGAAATCGATATCGTGACTACCTGATATGAATTTAAAATGATACACAATAAAACATTTTTAATGTTTTATTTAACCTTGGATTATTGTGTTAAAATCTTTTTGCATTTTGAAATAGATGTATTTTTCAAACTCTAAGGTACGATGCCCATTGACCGACGCGCGGCGGAGCGCGTCGGAGCGCACTTACACGGCCGTAAAGAAAATAGTATTTTATTAACAGTTCTTAGAGTCGTAATTGCTTACAACTGATTAACTGACATTTCAATCCGGATGAACATGAATGACAGATTTAATAACTTAAAATTAAAAATTATATTTAAATATTTTGTTTCCTTTATTTATCACCTTATTGAATCCCTACGTTACGAACCAGAGAAAAAGGAAGTAGAAGCTAGCTAAGAATGGATATAAATTCTAAATTAATTTGATACCCAAAATAATTAAAAATGTCCAACTAATAGGTACAGGTCAATTGTAATTAGCATTTGTGTCCAACTAGAATTAACTGAACTAATTACCCCTAAATTAACTGAATAAATACTTCACAGTTAACAGCCTTCTATGAACTAAGTAATCAACTAAACTAATCCCGATTGCAGCGCGCAAAGCTGTGAAATTAACTTCGTAACGAACTATGGCGAATGCAATTTGCCCCAACAAGCGCTTCCGCCCACCGCTAAGGCGAAGCAGGCGGTTGCAACTAGTGGACATGCCCTACGGTTTAAGGTGCTTTAGGTCCCAAGTTGGTAACTTTATGCGACAGACAACATAGAGCTAGAACAGACAATAAGCATGTTTCTTAGAACTTTTTTCAGTATCTTTTAGAAAAAGTAATGAAAAATTCAATGGAATGAAACATTTTCGTAGGGTTTATAATATAAAAATGTTAGTTTAAAGTTTTCAACGCAACAATGTTGCAGCAATATACTTACGACTTACTTTTTTATCTTAAAATGCCAAATATTCTCGGAAATCCTGAAGTCTGAAAATAATGTTTTCCAAATTTTCCGTAAAAATGTTATGAACTTTGCAAACACATACTTAGTACAGATAATAATGACAAACAATTTGGTACTTTATCTCTTTTAACAATCACAGACAAATAACAGCAATGCTTTTTCCGTATCATGAATATTTTCTTTCCAATAAAGAAGATTTCCAATTAATTTAAGAAAAAATATCCAATATTTCGCAATTAAATTTCCTTTAAAAGCATATTAAAACTTTAAAAGCTTTCATTTTCATTGCACAATTAATTGTGGGTAGGACGTTATCCATGTCGGATTATACGAGTATGTCACATCCATACAATTCTTTCTAGCAATATTGAGATTTGCTAATCTGTCGCTCGCTGTTTACGACAGTTGGAATACCCAATAAATAAAAGGTTTATGCCTTTCCGATCAAACAATAAAATTAATAACCTGTTGAACTACGCGTCATTTATGTTTACACTTTCATTCATGTCTCCGACACGCTGACAAAGAAATCAACAAGTGGAAATCAGAAACTCAATTTCGAAAATTAACAAAAATAATAATTTAAAATAAAATAATAATTAACTTACCGTATTCAGTAGAATAATGCGTCAAAATAATTCGTGTCACTTCAGCTTTCGAGTTATAAACACAGCATAACTGGCCGTACGTTCGAGCGACGACCGCACGTCCGACTGGTGCGGTGGCCGAGTCCTGACTGGTGCTCCGGTCGGTGTGGACATCCTCAAGTCCTGGCGGGAGGGGAGTGGGGGGAAGCGATTGATCTGCGGCGGCTTCCGCTGGAGTATCCTGAATGAAAGTCGCCCTTCAGTCTCATGCGCCCTACGCGCGGAGTAGCGATAACTCGGAGGAAGGAAAGCGTTGCTGACTGTCGCACTGATTGGAGAGAGTATGTGCGACGACATTAGCGGTTCCTTGTAACTCCTTTTAACTATTACTACGCACTCTTTTTATTAGTTGTGCGGGCATAAGTACATGGCGTAGCAGGGATAGGGAGATAAAAATACACATAAATTATCACCGGGGATCATGCACTCTCCTAACTTGATATCAGTTTTTTTTATGTTACAGCTGAGGTAGGTATATTGATTAATTTTGGCACTGATTGGTCATAACGCCTGAATGTCTTAGGGCACCTACTTAATTATTTGCATTACGTATGTAGTCAAAAATTAAAGAATTTGAAAATATGACATACTTAACTCTCGAATGTTCCTAAAGAAAACACATAGCCTTAACTCACTGCTTAAGTTTTCGCAACAAGTCTTTACGATCCTATATACCTAAAACAGTTATTTGTAACTAACGTAATAAAATAATTTAATAACTTAAGATTTTAATCAACCACATGCCTACTCTGAAATAAGTTAGTTACTAGCATTATTCGGGTTTGGCAGTTATTCAATGAATAACTGCAGTATTTTATTTAAGTTATCTTTCAAATATTTATTATTTATGTTCAATAAATATTATTGAACGAAATCATTGAAAATGTGCAGATAATTAAAAAGATATAACCCTCCTTCTATCGCAGTCGGGTAAAAATAAACGTACACGTCTTCAGAACTGGGTATCCTTCCGTTTGGCCAAATTACTTTTCGCCAAATTTCACTTCGCAAACAACTTATCGCCAAAGTTTCATTTCCCAAATGAACTTTTAGCAACTGTACTTTTCGCAACTAATTCATTTGGACAAATTATCATTTGGCCAAATTTTACTTGGCAAATGTTTATATAGCAAATGTTTTATTTTGCCAAATATTATATCCCAAATAATTTGTTTGGTCAAATCGACACTTCACATACTTACCCACAAATCAAACCATAAGGCAGAGGCAGATGATCATGGTTTTCACAAGAATGTTATGTAAAACAAAGAGATTGCAGAAAATAGTATGGTTGCAGAAAGTAGGTATTGCAGAAAATAGTAGGTTAGGTTAGAACAGTGACCCTTAACGCGCGAAGGCGAGCGAAGCGTGCCGCGGCAGCGGCCGCCGAGCGCTAGAATCACCTCTATTGTTAATGAATCATTTGGGAATTTCGATAAAAAGAATGAAATATGAAAAATTTATATAGAACAAATTTTATATTAACTACCCACTAAACAAAATAATAACCACTTGTTAATTTGTACTCCATTCTAAGCACCCATCAAATTGTTTTGTAAATAGTGTATCGTGAAATATTTTTGCCAAATGAAACATTTGCCAAAACATACTTTGCCAAACAATAATTTGCTAAACAATAATATGCCAAAAACGGCATTTGCGAATTAAAAGTTTGCTATAAGTTGTTTTGCCAAATGAGAATTTGCCAAATGAAAATTTGCGAAACGTTGTTTGCGATGTGATAATTTGGGAAACGTTTTTTGGCCAAACATTAGTAATCCTCAGAACTGCTTAGAGACTATAACTGCTACGAAGACTACGGCACCACATTCGTAGCAAATGGCTGCTACGACGTAGCTTAAGCTAGAAACTTTTAACTTTAAAAGTTGTTCGTATTCTTAAATTAGTCATTGTTATTGTGTTGTAAAAATTTGAAATAATTACGTTCTAAATCTAACATCGCAATGTTTATTTTACTCAAAGTTTCTTGAATTTGCTTATTTATCAAAATGGATACTAGGTACCTATTAACTACAACTTCCTTACCTACTATTTAATGACGTATAATATAGGTTTTATTTTTCGTATGTATGTAATACACCGATTTTATATTTAATTTAATGGTAGGTATGTGGTTTAATTTTACAAGCGACAGTGTAATAGGTTCGTTCGTTCGTTTTAACCGAATGACGTCCACTGCTGGGCAAAGGCCTCCCCCAAGGATTTCCACAAAGACCGGTCCCGCGCCACCCCATCCAGGCACCCCCCGCGATCTTCACCAGATCCATGGTTCACCTAGCTGAGAGGGGTTACCTACGTGAGTGCGACAAACGTTACATCGAATTTTGTTTCTTCGAAATCCTTTCTGCGAAGTTATTATACTGCGACGCCTTGTTATATCGATGCCTTGTTACTGCGATGTTACGTTACATCGAAACTTTACTGCGAACGATTTTACTGCGAAGCCTTCTTTATTTGACTTAGCAGATAGATAAAAAAATGAAATTACATACATACTTACATACATAGAATAAAGTGGGCGGTACAAAATTATAGATGAAATAAGATTATAAATACATTACATTTTATTTACTGTAATAAGTAATATTTAATAGTTACATCTTTGATTAAATAACATAAGAATAGAAACATAAATATAAATAAATTATAAAATACGACTATAAAATCGTTCGCAGTAAAGTTTTTCGATGTAACGTAACATCGCACTAACAAGGCATCGATATAACAAGGCGTCGCAGTATAATAACTTCGCAAAAAGGTTTTCGAAGAAACAAAATTCGATGTAACGTTTGTCGCACTCACGTAGGGACGTAGGTAACCCTAGTGAGAGGCCTGCCCACACTACGTCTTCCAGCTCGTGGTCGTGGAAATAGGTAGGTACAAGCAAGATTAGATCTAAATAATCGTGATGACATAACAACGCCATTATAATGTCGTTTGCAAAAATGCCAAAAATAGGAAGTTGGAATGTGTCTATTTTATGAATTGGATCCGACGCTATTATGAATTTAGGATGTGGGTAATTAAACAACTGGCGGTTAAGGTCGCGTGATAATTAGCTTAATTATTATCAATAGAGCTATCCTGCAGACATGTGGGGCGAGGCTGATCATGCTGGTACATACCTGGATCGACTATGTTATACAAATTGCATCATAAATTACCTACATAATGTTATAGAAGATACATTATTTTTAGTTTAATGGTTAAAAGCAGATTTCTATAACATATAATTTAGACGGCATTAATTTTAACCACGTTTATAACTAGTTACCTTCATGAAACTGACTTGCGTTACAGCGGATGCACACCCCAATAAATCTTAGGATTATGTAGTAAGTCTACATAGGTACTTCATGACACTGATCGCACCTCCCAACCCCACGCTGCTCGTAAGAGCCCAGCTCCCCCTAAAAATCACTCTAGAATACTATAGATACGCCAATGCCCAGGGTCACCACCATCAGAATCAGCACCCTCAGATGAATTACCAATATTTCGTTCGTTTCAGCCAAAAGATGTCCACTGCTGCACAAAAGGTATCCTTGGGGGAGGCCCCAAGGATATCCACGACGACTAGTCCTGCGCTACTCGCATGCAGGTACTTCCTGCGACTTTCACCAGATCGTCGGTCCACCTAGTGGAAGGCCTGCCCATATTACGTCTTCTGGTCCTACCAATATTCACTATGTATCCATTAAGTAGGCGTAAGCTGGTTATGCCCGATTTACAGTCTTCGATAGTAAAAATTGTTTTCATCTTTCTACTTCTTTAACTAAATAATAAACTAAAATAACAGTTTAAAAAGTTGTTAAGTACTATCGGGGACTCTTCCGCCTGACCACTTTGTAGAAATTTTAGCGTAAGCGCATCGCTCCGGTCACGTGCTCACCCCGTCTCTAATTGGTTACGCATTTTACTATATTTTTACTACGACCAATAAGAGACAATCAGGGCTTAGGTTGCAATACGAAATACCATTGTGCACTTTATTGTCATACGGTTAAGGTTTAAAACGAAATGTTTCTTTTTCTTCAATCTTTCTTAGTTTTAGGCTGAGTTGCGCCACCTAACTTTGACCGTAGCTATAACGGTAACCGGTGCTTTTTGTATGGAGTTTAACAGATTTTTGACGTTTGTCAAAGTTAAAGTAAGATGGTGCAACTCAGCTTTAGAATTTTAATAATAGAATTTGGTTACAAACAAATAGATAATATGTTTTTTTTAATATTGTATTTTTATACGAGGTCTGTCTGCTTTTTGCTTTGGCGAACTGTCGACATATTCTCTCCTTTGTTTTTTGTGCAGTTTTGTGATCCCTAACCGATTGATTTTGTTTTGTGTTGACCCGTGCTAGTAATTGGACTGTTTGATTGCCTTTTTATTGACCTCCGCGCGATTACTGAATCATGGCCTCTCAAAATAATTCTTAATTATTCTTATATTTAATTACAAACTTATCTATCTATACATTGTTAACTGTTTAAGTATTATTTAGTTTGAAGTTTAATTTTTATTGATTTAAAACCTTGTGTAAAGACACTTAATGTGCAATAAAAAAATAATTTGAAATAAAACTAACTTAATATTATAATATGTATTTATAATAACCAATGACCTGGATCATTGCTACCTAGTTACAATATTTGTATTAAATTGTAATAACGTAGATAAGTGTTTCTTTTAAACGGAAAACAAAAGTTGCTAATGTATTAAAAATAAATAGAAACCTATTATAGGTTTTTATTTACATTCAAGGATTTAAGAATGTTATTATGTAGCCAGATCTTACAATAATTGTTTTTAAGCCACAAATATTCCTTAACTATTTCCTAATTAATTCAATAACATATAGTTTATAAATTATAAGTTCCAAATAAATTAAATACCTATTAAACAAGTAAAATTCGAAAGTGACTGTATGATTTTGCATTTCTCGCCTTAACTAGCTAAACTAATATCATGAGATTTACAATCTTAATATCAACAATAATTATAGAAAGAGCTACTTTTTTCTCAGGAAATTGCACAGTTACCTCGGAATGTGCGATAGCAAT